TTCACCATATTTGTAAATGAATACCTTTTCTGCCTGCCATCATCATGGCTGATTCTAAACTCCAAAAGAGCAACATTTTCAACGTTTTCCACTGACATGCAGTAGAGTGATTATATTGAATCAATTGCTACGTCTATTGCAAAGAAAGTTGGTTCACTGTGTTGTGCTAGATGATTTTTCTTGTCAGAATCTATTTTGCACATTTATAAATCTACCATTCGTTCGTAGGCATTGAATACTGTTGCTATATTTGCTCTGGTTCTCCTGCTATTTGTCTCGAGATTCTTGGATATTTACTATAGCTGATGCTAAATTCCTGAAGATCTACACTCTACGCCTTCTTGGTTTCATGTTTTAGCAACTATAATGATTGATACGTCTACTACAAGGAAAGTTTGTTCACTCTGTCGTGTCATAAAACTGTTTTTTTTTTTACAGATATATTTTATTTATACCGGATTATTTTTACACTTAAACCAATTTATATTTGTAAATGAATACCTTTTCTGCCTGCCATCATCATGGCTGATTCTAAACTCCAGGAGAGCAACATTGTACGTTTTCCACTGACAAGCAGTAGAATGATTATATCGAATCAATTGCTACGTCTATTGCAAAGAAAGTTGGTTCACTGTGCTGTGCCAGATGATTTTTCTTTTCAGAATCCATTTTGCACATTTATAAATCTACAATTCGTCCGTGCATTGAATACTTTTGCTATATTTGCTCTTGTGCTCCTGTTATTCATCTCGAGATTCTTGACAAAATCCAACGAAGGATCTGTAATGTAATTGATCCTGACCAGGCATCTTGACCTCAGTCACTTTATCACCGACCAGGCGTTGGTTTCCCCTCTCTTTTCTTTCACGGCAACTGCTCTGATGAGCTTTTCCCCTAGTGCCCCGACTGCATGAATTTAAGCGACTAAGTTTCATCGTTTTACTATTAAACCACCTAGATAAAATTCGCTACTTCTACGCTAACAGTTTCTTTTCTTCCACATGTCGAACTCCCTTCCGAGTTCTTGCTTCTCAGATAACTACAATCTTAAAGAATTTAATTGCAACGCCAATCAGCATCCTCTGTTTTCTTAAACTCTATTCCTTTTGCTTCTATCTTCAATCCTCTCTATTCTCAGTCTCCTAATTCTCCTTCGCTTTCAAAAGCCTGTACCCCACCCACTGCGTTCTAGTGGCATCACTGCTTTGCTGGGGGTGAAAATTTAAAACAAATCATTGCTTAGTCTGATACATATCCATAAGACGCACAATGAGAATTAACTTATTATAGTAGTAATGATCTGTGGGGTTAGCGTGCTCAACACTGCTCCACAGCGATGTCATATCTTTAAATTCTTTCTGTATTTACGCACGAACGCATTCACACATGCACGCAAATATTTATAGAAGATGCGGCACTAAAATGTTTGTGAGAATTTCACTAGAAAACAATTTCTTCTCTTAGTACATAGTTTTTGTGGTTTGTTTTGTTAGATAGCACATTGTTTTTTTTAAAAAAAAAGGACTATTCGCAAAGAGCAGTGGCAAATGCATGCGTTCCATTCAGTTCACGCATCCACGAACTATTTGGTAGCGTATCACCTTTTATATGAGGTCCGTTTAGAAAGTATCAAGGTGAAAACATTGCTTGCCTAGGACAATGGCATATTCATACTTCTTCTATTGGAATATCACTAACCTCGCCAAGTATCACTTCAAATTTGTATCCCTCAAACAATGAAGAAGTTCGATATAGTACTCTTTATTATCTAGCTTGGTGAACTTACTCACGGTGTGTATCAAATATATGATGAAAAAAAACCAAAAAAAACAAGCGAAACTTTAATATAATCTTTGCATGGCTCCATTCTCGCGTCATTTGTGGGTGTCGAGATTCGAAGAAATTTTATTGTGAAGCTTGGGATATTGTTTCAATGTTATAGCTACAGACATATAACCCATCTTTGGTAATTACCTTTTTGAGGGAATCCGGATAATTCTTAGCGATTTCAGGTAAGTTCTGTATAACTTGAGCACACGATGCCTTCTACTCTTGTAACAGGAAAGAATTATATAAAAATCTCTGACGCAATAGTACATGGAATCCACAGATTCTCACACCGTCAGGCACCAATATTCTTTGTTTACAGCCCAATACGCATTCGAAAATTTCATTTGATCTGCTGTTGAAGGATTTACAGAACGTCGGTCATTTTAAGCGTATTCTTGGTCAGGTTTGAAGCATCGGCACCAATCCTTTGGGTTTCACTCAATAAATAATTCCTGAACAACATTTTTAAGTACTTTAAGCGACGGATATCAGAGTTTCAAGCAAACCATACTGTAAATTCTACTCGCTCGATGGCATCTTACTACTCACTGATTAATGCAACGTAAAAGTTTCCGTTCACGTATGAGCAGTGCAGTCCCCTTTTGTTGTGGCAATCTTATATAAATTCTGTAGATAGAATAGCTGAATACTTTCCGGACAGCCATCTTGTGACTCCCTCTCTCTCTCTTTCTCTAGCCACACACACACACCCATGCGTACCAGCGTATAGATGCACACATCGATATATCTAGAAAAATAGCTGTTTAGATTTTATCTCGGAGACGAGTATGGCGTTCTAATTCAGCAGATAAAATCAAAAGAAATCTTATTTTACACGTGTATGCATTTGAAAATGACCAGTGACGTCATACTTTACTTATTCACCAAGCGAAGAAAACGAAAAATATACACCTGCAGTCAGCGGAAATTACAAGCGAACAATCGAAGAAAATTAACAAAAGTTTCCTAATTAAAATATTAGATTACTGCGTAAAAAGACATCGATTAACATGAAAATCAATACTAAGTACTCTAACAACTTTCATATATTGGTTGCTTTCATTCATAGCAAGGGAACTTTAGGTATGAAGGGATGAAAGAAATAATTATGAGTGGAAGAAAATTAATATTTAGACATCTAGAAATTACGTATTCATCTGTTATTAGTTCAGGATTTTATTGCATTATTTTTTAAATTCAATATTCTTTACATTCCTTTTCTGGTTTTATTTTTCGAGCGAATTTAATGACGTCTTATTCATATAATACTAAATCTTTAATCTTGTATATATGTGTAACTGTTCCCAAGGTACAGCTTAACCGTTACATAATGCCCCAACCAATTTTGGAGCATATTGTATCTCGAACACCTGCCGAGGGCAGCGCCAAAATTCATTAAAATTAGACATAGGGTTCTTTAGCTAGGCCCGTTTTTCTGTTTTTTCGACGTTTTTAATAGGAGATTTAGTGTGCGTTCGATATACATTCTTATATAAATCTGCGTATATAAACAAGTATTTTCATAAAATATTCCAAATATTATGTCTGTGAAAAATAATAAACATTCATAATGCATTATAACAACATTATAAAATAATTTTAAATATACGTAACACAACATATATTTATACAATTCACTACACTATATTAGAACGTTCTTTTTATACAGAACTAATTGTAAGGTGAAGTGGCTATATGTGTGACATGAATTGATGGTAAATGAATAAATAGACGCCAATTGATTTTCTGCCGTTAGGTATTTTAAAATAAATGCGAGGAAGAAACAAATCTGTACAATAAAAATATACTTATTATTTTGAAAAATACTACACCTATTTTAAGTTACTGCTCCAAACTTTACTCAGTGTATTAACTATGAACCCCAATGAAACAATAAACCTTCGTTTATGGGCTTTGGTATTAATTATTAATTTTATATTCAAAGTACATTTTTTGGAAGAAATTTCTCTTTTAATGTAAAGAAGTAAAACTGATATCGGAAATTAATTTAGTTTCATATTTTAAATAAGGATATGTTTGCATTAAGTCGTTATGGGTGATTTTCATTTGTTTTCGGAGAGGAAAATACTTATTAACTAATAATTAATAAAATATATATATATATATATATATATATATATATATATATATATATATGATCTACATACTGTATTGAGCAATTTATTTATTTATTTTGCTTACTCGTATCGTTTTTTTTTTTGGGGGGCTTTGGACTTGCATGCTAGACGATTATTTTCGGCTAACGTACATGTTCTTGGCTCTTTCTTTTTAATACCTTTTTTCCCTTTGGTATTGATTTGATTATTTGCAAATCAAGACACCGAAGGTTTTTCGAATGAGTATAACTTTTTATACTTATAAGATTACTACTAATAACACACACACACACACACACACACACACACACACACATATATATATATATATATATATATATATATATATATATATATATATATATATATGTATGTATATATCTATGTATTGTTTAGAAAAAAACACTACACATGTTTTAAGCTTTTACTCCAAATTTTCACACAATGTGTTATTTAAGAATTCCAGTGGAACGATAAACCTTCTTCTGCAATCTTTAAATACACATTAAAATGTGTTATTAATAATCAAATTGATAATACTTGACTAAGTTTTTTTAGTTATTTTATAAGAAACGTTTGATAATTTTGTATTATGAATTGCTTTTAAAAGAAACCCAACGAATTTATGTGTAGTCTAGTTATTCAATAATTCTTATCGTTTAAAATCCCCATTTCACAACGTTTCGACCAGACCAGTTTTGCTGTTATTTCTTTCTGGCTTTCTCTCTCTTTCTTTTCTTCTATATATAAACACATATATTTATGTGTGCGTATATGCATGTGTGCACTCACTCACATGAATATGGCTTACGACCATATCACGTTAAAGCACCGATTCTAGTACGAAGTTAAACAACGTTGAACTTGGTCAGTATCTAGATGGGTGACCGCTTGGAAATACCAGGTGCTGTAAGACTGTAAGTTCGAGTTGTATGACAACCGGTTCTCGTATGATCACCGAAGGTAAGCAACGTCAAGCCTGGTCAATACGTAGATGGGTGATCGCTTTGGGAATACCAGGCGTTGTAAGTTTGGATGTGCGGGTGGTATGGCTTACGGACATATCACGTTGAGACACCAGTTACCGTACGTTCACCGAAGTTAAGCAATGTTAAGCTTGGTCAGTACGTAGATGGTTGATCGCTTGTGAATACCAGGTACCGTAAGCTTAGATGTGGCTTGTATTAGTAAAACATTATTATCTCCCAAAAATTTTATAATCTAAAGATATTTTCTGTCTTTAAATAACCTGTAAAAAGTTGAAAAACCGTCAAAAATAAATAAATAAATCAATAAAAATTACAAGGGCGTTACCAAATGTGCATTTGAAGGAGTTCGAAGGATAGAACTGTTGACTATGTTCGCCAAGTCTATGGATATAGAATACAGCGCAGTACGTAATCTGTTCAATGAAACAACGTTAAAGATTAACACTCACCAGCATCAGTTCCGTAATTCTTCAGCCTTTGATATCAGAGGTTGGCAGTGAATATTCGGGGGGAAAAAAACATGGCCGCCTTTATACACGTCGCATTGAATATTCTAAGCCTTCTGATTGATTAACCCTTCTATTGGTGAACTATAAAATGAGTCAGCTCATTTTGGCTGGCTCACTAGTCCAGGGTACACAAAAATTCCAACAAGAACGTTCCAATTCGTTTTCACGGTAACACGTAATATATGGCCACACTTAAAATAATTAAATTTATAATAACAATAATTCATGACGGAGATGAAATTAAAACTTCACTTTTACTAAATTGAATAAAGAAAAATGTTTCTTATAAAATATCTAAAAAAACTTAGTCAAGTAAATTAACACTAGATACATTCACTTATAAGCTGGATTTGAGTTGTAGCTTAAGTCCTAAAAATTAAGAGCACATAATGGTAAAACATTACCTAGATGAAATCACTATTGCCACTTACCTAAGTTCACTAACACCACACAAATTTGTTGGAAAAACGTTTGAGTCATAACGATATTTTGTTTCGTTTACTACTAGTTGATTTGTTTTATTATTTATCTATCAAATATTTTTATACAAAAATAATAATAAAATATTCTCATATATTTGATGATAATTTTATACTTTTATTCCTTTCTTATTTATTTCTTGATTTCTATCATCATCATCATTTTTAAAATATACATAATAAAACATGTGGTACATTTGATGGTTAACTGTTTACTCCGACATACAGTGTTAAATATATATGTGTTTGTGCGTGTATCGATACACTTCGAGTAGGCGAAATACGTCAACTCGGGAGAGTAGTTCATCTAAGATAAGAAAAAAACTCTGATTTTAAACCTCCGCTGCCTTGCGGCCATACCCAATTATGGTTAAAGGCTTCGAGAGTAAACCCCGAGGACAAATCCAGAGCTGGAGTCTCTAAGACAGCGGAAATTCAAATTCCTTCATAGCTTGAAAAAACTTTTTAATCTTGGATGGCAGTCTTTCTACAGATGGTGTCTCGACAAAAACACTCAGATGTAGGGTTGGCGTCCCACATTTTGTATCAGTTACCGAAAGAACTATCATGACGTCCGTGTTTTCTCACGAAAACTGACTTTCCCAGACACCGTACTCGGAAATCTAGATTTGAAATTAGGGATCTGGGGACAGCAATACAGGACTGAACAGTGTGGAAAGGGATTGTCAATGAAATTCTAACCAACTATAGAGAGGTCGAAGGATGATGATGATGATGATGAAGATGAACACCACACAGGTGACAGTTTAAAATGTGCGCAGTATTTCTGCCGCACCCTGTAGCTAATGTCTTACCATTATTTTTTTGGAGGTATATATGGGTGTTTTTTTTTTTTTTTTGGGGGGGTTCTGTCGCACCCTGTATATACAGCGGAATGTTTGTGTATGAGTGTATCCGCTTCCCGGTCGTTTGAACAGGAGTAGAGGTTTATACCTTGTTTCCTGATTAGGATTGAGTTTCTGGTTCCTTCTGAAGTTTTCTCATTTTATTTTCCTTCCAATAACCTCTTGCGTCTTAGTGGTATTATCGCCTTGCTTTGGGTGAAATGGTTTAAAAAAACTCTGAAAATTAAATATCTATAAAGTCTATTTGTGCTTGTGTATTTGCAAATAATATGAAAAACTGATATATACATAAATTCGATTTTATCATTTCTTCCCGTATATACCTTATTTCTTGACCACCACAGAGGTCTTTGTCTCATGGAGAAAACTAATAGGCATATTCGATTCTAAAAATAAAATAAAAAAATAAGTTTTTAAAATTTATTTCTAATATTTATATATATTTCTATTATAGCTTAAAAGCTGTCCTATTAAGCGGCATTTAAGCTAGCATCATCGGAGGACTCTTGACAGGGCCTTCATCTCAATAAATACGGAGAAGTAGATGCAATAGGCAACAATAAACTACAAGAGAACTCAAAATTGATCGCTGCATTATTATAATTCTGTCGCCACTTAATTTAAAGACAATTTGATGCATCGAGATCCTTACTTTCCCTATAAACAATTATTTTTTATTTCATGTGTGACTTTCGCTGGATTTCGCAATTAATTGGAATTATTTTCAATTTTCTTTTTTTTTTTCCCAAATAATAAAAATTGTTACCGTACAAAATTTCGTCGCAAAAAATCACGTAAAAAACTCGCCGAAAACAATAGCGGTAATGAAAATTGGAAATCCCAAATTTCAGGATTGCGGATCCATATCCGACACGGAATGTTTTTAATTTGCTCACGGAGTCGACCTGATTCCAAAATGATATATTATGCTGGCCTACGGCATGTAGGAGTAAAGTTGAAAAGCAAGACACAGCGACACACTGCCATTCGCATTGATTATGTAGATTGCTGTGTCGAACGACGACCGACTTTCGCTACACTAAAGGGTTGAACATGGACTCTTCCATTAACTATAAAAGTAGTCGCAAGCCGGACACAGGAGTCACAAATTGTGTCGCTCTAACTACGATGTTCGCTCGTATTGTAATCCACCTGATTAAACTGTTCTTTCACTAATATTATGTTACAGTGTTTTCTTTTGGAATATTATTAACCTTAACTACGAGTTAATACGAGCATTATAACACACACACGCGCGAACACACATACACACACATATACATATGCAAATTCAAGTTTGTACACAGTGAATAATTTTTCTACCACAAGACACCAACTGTTCCCTACTCAAAGAGTATCGAACAAGCTAAGCTAGAGAATGGCCTGCGAGATAAGTTTGGTAGCCAATCCTTTACTTTAAGTGCGTTCTGTGTGTGTAAGATGCAGACATTTATTATGTGTATCCCAGAACAAAAACAGCAGACTCGAACTCACTTCATCAGAAAATCGTCAATGAAGACAAAACAGTTAAATAGTGTTTACAGCTGACACCATTTGTGTATATAAGTTTTTCTATAGGATTCTTTCAGTCGAGCTAGTCCTTGATTTTATACAGATGTAGTCTTATTTATATACAATACTGCGCAAAAGTAATTGAACCTCTGAGATAATATTTTTTAAAAAAATGGACTCTTTTTTTTCAGATAATCATTAGGATTTGGAAGTGCTTTGCTGCAGCTGGAACAGACAAAGTAGTACGCATTGACGGCTCAATGGACTGAAAGATACCAAGCAATTTTGAACGAAATTATCTTGCCATCGGTTCGAAAGTTGGGCTTAGGTCGGGGCTGGACCTTGCATCAGGACCATGATCCGAAGCATCAAAATAAATCCATAAAATAATGTATTTGAAAAAAGAAATTTCAAGTCTTGGAATGGCCTAGTCAAAGTCCTGATCGGAACCCAATTGAAAATTTGTGACTCAAGTTAAAAAAGGCAGCACATGCAAGAAACCTAGGTAATATTAAGCAATTGAGGACATTTTTGAAAATGGTCGAAAATTGACGCTCAGTACTTCCAGAAACTTATTAAAAATTATAGAAAAAGATTTGTTGACGTCGTGAGTTCAAAAGAAGGAGTCACCAAATATTCAATGTAAGGGTACACTTACTTTTGCACGTTTTAATTTTTAATTGATATTTTTATTCCAGTTTATTTTTTCTCCAAGTAATTGTAAGTAGTTTAAGTTTTTTTTTAATAGATATATAATTTAATTAAAATTTGTTGATTATCTGGAACACCCCCCCCCCGAAACCCGAAGTCTTAAGTCCTTGCTTATATATTAGAAAATCCCTCTTAAGCACAAAAGAGGATGGATAAAAAAAAGTAATATACATTTCAATTAATCCCCAAACAATGCGTTTCCAATACCTTCCTTCTCCTCCTCCTCCTTCTTCTCCTCCTCCTTCTTCTTCTTCTTCTTCTTCTTCTTCTTCTTCTTCTTCTTCTTCTTCTTCTTCTTCTTCTACACCCTCCCTTTCTATTACACCCAGTATCGTGCGTTTGTTTATTTATTTAAAAAAATAATAATAATATAGCGTTCATTTGTTTTTTGTTTTTTTAAATAAAGTGTTAATGAAGTATTGTAATTATTTACACTATTTACATTGTTCTGACTGTTGTCCTCATCTTCTTTGCCATATTTCTTAAGGCAGGAGCGTACAACGGCTATTACGTCGTGAATATTGCAACGAAAATGAGGACGACAGTCCGAAAAATGTAAATAATGTAAACGTATATATATATACATTTTGTCATATAGGACATAAATTAATGGAATCGTCCGTTTATGTAAATAAGCGGAGTTAAGAGAGGAGGCACGGTGGAGTAATGGATAGTGGCTTAGATTGAGGAATCGGAGAGATAACTTTGAATTCCAGTCGAACCCATTACATCCACTTAGTTTGGAAAAGGTATGAATCATCTTCTTCTCCCCCCAGCTATGGAGAAATAGCAGGACAGGCCGGGTAATATAGCTTACCGTAGTAAGAAATTGCAATCTACTGCGGGAAAAATAAAATCTGCCTCGTCAGTCATGTATCGCAAGATACATGATCGCCTAAATATATATAACGCATGGCACATAACTGAAGCGGACTTGAGGAGAGTTAGCATTAGGCCCGTTGCTAAGTGTAAATTCGTGTAGCTAACCTTCTATTTTATTACTTACCTACGAGTTTGTCTTTCTTATTTATTTCCCTTTTGACAAAAAAAATAAACACTTTGCAATAAAAAATTATCATACAACAGCATCATATTTTGATT